AATGCATTGGAACTGAAGCAAGAGAGAAACTATAGAAATAGATCCATCGAGCACAGTTGCACTATGTTTAAAAAAAAAAAAATTTTTTTAATACGAGACAAAACAAAACCATGAGGCCGTTACAAATCGACAGCCGACATCCTGGGCGAAGGGTGCCGAGCTGGTTGGAGCTGGTTGGCGCTGGTTGAAAATGCCTGGGTGATTCAGTGCCAGATTCCCTTCTTTTTGGTGCCGTCTTATGCCCAGTCCAGACACTCCCATTCCTTCAGCGTGTGGTAGTGGGTCCGCAGGGCCGGCCCACAGGGCTGGTTTTATTTCCATGTAGTAACAATGTCGGGGGGGTTGAAACCCGGTTTTGATTGCAATGTGTGTTACGAGAATCCTGTGGACCCGGTGGTAACTAAATGTGGTCACCTATATTGCTGGAAATGCTTGCATAGCTGGTTGGAGAAAGGAGTCGCGGAGTGTCCAGTATGCAAGGCCGGCGTCACAAAGGAGAGTGTTATTCCTGTATATGGTCAAGGCAGCAGCTGCGAAGACCGTCGAGATGTCCCCAAGGAATCTGTGCCGGAGAGGCCAAATGCCCAACGCGATCCGCCCCCCAGGCGTCGCGAAGGCCCCCGGCACGGCTTTACGAGCGGCGCATCCATTCACATTGGTGTCTTTCCTTTCGGGCTGACTGTGAATATTGCGGACTGGTTTGGTGGTACCGACGAAGAAACCCAGAACATGTTAGTGGCGTTGGCGTTTGTTGGTCTTTCTATGATAATAGTCTGGACTGTTCTTTTTTCTTTATAAGCATTTATTTTTGTTTCCAATTTTATCCTTTCTGTAAAATAGAATTCTCCTTATCTAGCTATCTATGTGCGGACACACGTGTGTGCACACACTTTTGTGCCTTCATTTCTAATTGGCGGTCGTATCCCTCATTGGTTGTGATCTTCCTTGTCTTGCAGTCTTTGGTACCTTGCCACAGTCTCCGTGCCCGCTTGCAAAAGAAATTTCGTCAATTCAGATCTGCCGCATACGAATTGTATGCCCCTATTGATTGCATTTGGCTTCATTGTCATTTGAGATCTAAACTTGCATAATGTGGATGCTTCGGATCCAATTCTGCAAAGCAGGTCGTCGAGCATAGAAGATAAAACAAGGCAAGAATGTTTTTTTAGTATTGCTTGATCTCCTCCCACAGCTCGGAATAGCCGAATGATGTAAGTATCCCAGCGAATTCTGCCGGAGCGCCGTTTCTTCCTTTGACCTTCTGCATTGCTGGCAATACCTCGGACGTTCTGAGCTATTTTCCCCTTGCCAAAACCGCCAGTTGATTTCATAGCAGTTAATTTCACCATATTAGCGGAAGTAGGTTTTGTAAAGGCAGATTAAACCTCAATCGTAGCCAGGGCTCAGAACGTCAATTGTACAATAATATTGTTGAATTGAAGAATTGTACTAAAAAAGAGACGCCCTGCCGTATACAGAATTATATGGCAATCAAGCACACTGGTGGTGGTATCCTGGTGGTGGTATCCAGGTGGTGGTATCCAGGAGGATCATAGGTGATGTTGTTTGGCTGTTTCTTGAAGTTTGGGTCTCCAGAACCATTCGAACTTGCCGCATTCTCTATCCAGAATGCCTTCTTGTAGCGATCTAAGTTTAAGCGTGAATCTGGGTCCGATTTCTGCGAGTCTGGCAGTGGTTCCACCATCTTCAAATACGTAGCGGTAATGTCGGAAGAAAATGAAGTCATGCTTATTAACAAAGGCTATGACTCTTCGTCCGATGAACTCTGGTTTTCGGGGGATGAGTGAGTGTAATTGTCTTTTCAATCGTCGAGCTACGGCGGTGCTGAAGTTATGTAGAATGATTTCCGGGTTATGGTTGGTCGCATTGACGCCTTTTAATGTGCGGGCGAGGACGACTCCACTGAGTCTAAAATGGGATGTGGGTCCTTCGGGTAAGTGTGTCAGAAAGACACCATGAGGTTCGCCTTGTCTCTGTTCGAAAATCATGAGGTCGGTAAACCCACGATCTGTCGCAAATTTTACCAAGTCTTCTGCCAATACATACTTGCGACGATCCACATAATAACTTTCTGGGAACACTACCTGTAACTCTTTCAACAACTTAAGCATTGGTCGTCCCGGACGCACAATCGTTGTCATCAATATCTTAGGCTGACCACTCGCTCCTGAAAAATACGACTGGAATTCGTCCACCTTCTCCGCGTCCAACACATCCTCAAACGCCACATCATCGTCCAAAACAACCTCGTCATCCAAATCACGCATAGACTCCACCGTACGAGGCACCTGTCTCTCCACCTTCTCACCTCGAGCCTCCGCTTCTTTACGCAACCCACGCTGCACACGATTTATGCGCTTCTTCTCCTCCCGATACGCCTCACGCTCCTTCAACCACTGGCGCTTCTGCGCCTGTCGGGTCAACACACTCTCCTCCTTCCTTGACCCCGACCGCGACTTCTTCGCCATATTTACTCCAACAAAAATCCGTTCCCCCCGCACGCCCTCTTTCAGCCAGCCCACCCACCAGTGCTGCCGGACCCGCTCCACACGTCGGACCCCACGACGCTGCTCCACGCGTCGGACCCCACGATGCAGTTGATAGTAACTTCCGTTAATCGCGGGTAACACCGGACATTGGTCGTACCCGGCTAAATACCAGGCAACAGTCATCAAAACGGTGTTTTCTATCTATCTAAACTTCATTGAGATTTATCGTCGCTACATACGACTCAGCATATGACTCAAGCGTAGCGCCGTTAGTATTCTTGGCTGTCGTTAACGTCGGTTTTGTCCGCTGCCTTCGTCCCCTTGCCGACTGTGGTGCCTTTGACAGGTTGGCCGAAGATAACGTTCTTAAAGATGGCGGCCATTTCTTCTTCCGCCTTTACGGCCTGTTGAATGTGTTGAACGGTGACCTTGGGTCTTTCATTGGTCTTGCTCTTCTTCTTGTTCTTGGCAATCTCGATAGCGCTGTCGATCAGCTCCGTCATGAAAGTGTCTAGTGCAGCAGCCAGAAAGACAGCAGTGGCCATGGACGTATTGGGCGTATAACGCTCCTGCACGAGGCGACGGCGCACCAAGGCGGGAGGAATGAACAGGTTAAGACGCTCCTTGAGTGAGCCTCGCTTGGCATCTTCTTTACGAGTCTTCAGTACCGTCTTGCTCTTGCTCCTGGGGGGTGGTGCGTCAGACCGTGGGGCCGCTTCCGCTTCCTCTTCTTCTTCTTCCTCCATTCCCTCTTCGTCCTCTTCCATTCCCTCGTCCTCCTCCATTCCCTCGTCCCCATCCCCTTCCTCTTCTTCCTCCTCCTCCTCCTCCTCCTCGTCGTCTGTGTTGGGACGGGTGGCCTCCTTGCCGACTAGTTCTTCCGCGTCGAAGTCCATAGCCACTCCCTTCTCCTCCTCCTCCTCAAACCCTGTGGCAGCAGGTCTGCGACGCTGGATAGAACCCCTGGCCATGGCGATCCAAGAAGTATATCTTATTACCTTTTTAAAGCAACTGCTTCTCAACTCAGGCGCAGACTGGTGCGATAGAGACAAGACGTCGGCAACCTCCTGGCTCCTGGCTCTCCCCGCCGCAGCCCCCTGCCAGCAGACAGGTTCCTGGCCGGGCCAATTTCGAGACCGGAAATAGATGGCCTTAGTAAGCTCACATGCGGGGTGGTCGGTGTCGATTTCACGGGTTGAATTCACTATAGTTCTGACAGGGATATGAGCGGTCATCATGAGCCGGTGTTCGTGAGTACGCCTGCAGCCTTGGTGGAGCGGGGGATGGGTGACGAGAGTACATTGAAGTCTAGGTTGTGCCGTTCAGTGAACGGAACTGGTGTGAATTCGAAGCAGTTGCAATTGGTGCCTTTGAGTTTCAGCAAGCAAGGTACTGAAAGGAGATGGCGGAATCATATCAGTTTGCCTTGGCGATTCCGTAACTACTGCTTCATGAGCTTCTACTTGGCTACGCTGGTGTTCGGTTGGGTCGGTTTTTTTCTGGATTCGTCAGACAGGCGATTACTGGATAGCTATTCGGAGCCTAACTGGCAGTTTCACACTCTGTATGCGGTGGCTCTCTGTCTGTGTCTCCTGACGTTGCTCCTGACCTGGCTGAGTGGCGACCCGGCCTGTGGTTGGTTGGACCGGTTGAATGCAGCTGAAGAGTCAAACGGTGGAGCGGCCCTAACGAGTAAGCCCGAAGGCCGTGAAGCTAGGGGATCTCCGGCGGCGACTGCAGAGGCCGCGGCGGTAGTGGGGTACTGCACACCAGGCCCGGGAGCAGCGAGTTCCGAAGGCGGCGGTGCGCTCGATTGCGCCACGGAGCCGGAGACGTCGCCACGACGACGGCTGTTGGACTCGGGTTGGTTACGGAACCGATTAGAAAGTTGGTCGTACGTGTACTTGGCGTTGCACTTGGTATCGGCGGTGTTGTTGTTGTGGAGTGCGATATTTTCAGAACACACTCCATTGGCAGCTTTCGGATCGACGGAGGATATGTCCGCCCGTGTGGAGGAGTTGGCGGCGGTGACGGTGGTACTAAAATACAATATGTTGGTAACGATATTCCTGACATTTCCGTGGATGGTAACGGCATTGTTCTTTCAAGCACGAGTTAATATGATATGGCCCTTGTTAATGCTTGAGTTAGCGGGTGTTGTTGGCTGTTACTCACTGCTAGGTGCCAAGGTACATAGGAACTACGACTGTGTGATCTGGGGTGTACTCAATGCCTTGTTACTGCTAGCTTGCTACATATTCCGCTACCATCGTGAACTACAAGAACGACTTGACTTTCTCACATACATGCAGACACAAAAACGCATGAACGTACTACACCAAGAGGTAATGCGTTTGAGCCCCATCAGAGGTGAAACGAACATTCATGGAGAAAGCACTCTCGAAGAAATGCTGAGCCTCCTCAAACAAACACGCAACCTCCTCACCGTTGCCAACACCAAAATCCAGTGCCCTGAGGCACTCCGCGCAATGGACATTGTCAAGGAAGTCGTCAAGACAATGTCCATTGGCGGCGACCTTTTCAAGGTCCGATTCGCCAATATTGGAGAAGAAGGCGAAAACATTATTGACCAATACATACGAGGGGGTCATAAACGACGCTCCGCCGATCAAAACTCACCCGACGGTACCGAAGGCCAAGGCCCCGTTGGTAACAGTGGCATCAACTCCGACGAATCCGCCAAAGACACCAAACAAGCGCGACAAGCCGTCATGAACACCAAACGATTACGCACTACCAACGTTGGCTTCGATTGCTACATGCCCCCCGCCGTTCAAGCCACCACCGAAACGCCCCCATCAGGCATCGAACTCGGAGACATCGCCGTAACCCTCCCCTCTCTCGGGACCACCCCCCC